GAGAGAGAGAGAGAGAGAGAGAGAGGGGTAGCTAAATCTAACTTAAATTATAGATATGTACTTCATATCAATTATTTGTTATCAAAGATGACACCTCTCGTTTTGCTTTGACCCATGATGTGGTAACAGCTGTAACATTTTAAATTAGAGATTGTAGACGATTTACACCCACATCGGCGCATTTAGATAATATAGGAGGCTGGCTGCTCTAAACTGTGTGTCAGGGTCAGCTCAACAGACAAATGTAGCTACTTGAAAGAACACATTCCCACTCGACTTGGGAATCAAACTCGGCAGAAGATATTCGTAGAGCACCCAGGAACTATTCGGAGACGCACTCCCGCACACAGATTATGCACCACTGCTTTGGGGCGTATTGCTTGCTGCAGATCACACTTATAGCCACTAAAACAGTCGTAAATCAATTATTTTCATCAAAATTGCAAACCTTACGGTGAAATATCAAATTATGCATGCATGCCCCCTGAACCCCCCGCCCTCAGATTTTTTAAAACTTGGTCTACACTACAGGAACCAAGCATTTTGATTGGTCTATCTCCGTCTGAGACGTCTCCGGATAGATACTGCTATCAAACTCACATCATCTGCAAGCAACGGCCAAACCGTCCGTTAGTCAAAAGAAATCACAAACGTCGGTCTAAAGACCTTGCACTCTTAACAATTAACATAGGACTAGTAACTAAATAAGAATGCCGAGCTATGGTCTTCAAACGATGGAACTAATGGTTATTTTAACAGATCCACCCGCTATCTATATTTAGGTACTGTGCCGTGGCCTCAATTTTTTCATGTACAGTCAAAACAGCTTATGCAGTACACCAGGCCTACTTACTAACTAACGGGTACAGACTAGGCCCTCGGTGGATTTCCGTTTTTTTACGTCTCTTTAAACACAAATTGGCCTTATTATAAGGGAGTTATTTTCTTTTCGTCTTGTAAATCCAAATGGTTGTAGACACATTAGTGGTAATTGAAATCGTTGTCGTTTTCTTTTTAGCATAAGAAAACCAATGTAATTGTCACTGAAATCATTGTTCCCCTTTTTCAGCAAAATATAAACCAAATTGGTAGTGTCTAAATAACTTGTTATTATAGTTGTCATTGAAATCATTGTTGTTCTCGTTTCAGCAAATCAATCAAAATGGTGGTCGCCAAAGTGTGGAAGACAGTGAAGCCCTTCGAGGGCACCCCCAAAATCACCGACTTCGAGCTGGTGGAAGAGAAATTGGCAGACACCCTCAAGCCAGACGGTAAGGACAAACCAACATTCACACATACCCCCCCCCCCCCAACCTTCCCCTGCGCCATACCCACATCCTCCACTTCTCTTCGCTTTCCACAATTCTCATTTTGCCACTTCATTATACACCCTTCACATATCCAAACTCTCTCACACACCAAAAAATACTAACAATAACAGTGATAATAACAATGAGAACAGTAATAATAATAACAGTAATACTACTACTACTACTACTACTACTACTACTACTACTACTACTACTACTACTACTGATGATGATGATGATGATGATGCTGCTGATGATGATGATAATAATGATAATAATGATATAGAGTGTTAAGCGCATAGAGCTTGTTGTTGAGCGGGCAATGACGCTATACAAATCACGCTATTCATTATAAATTATCAGTTAAGTTGGCCGTGGCCTTCATGTCGATTCAAGTGTTCTGAGAATTGTATTTAATTTGTCTTTTCCTATTTAATTGCATTAGTGAGGCATGTTTAGTTTGTGTTTTTGATGTTGTTTTTGTTTTGTTATTTAAAGTTTGGAAGTAAATCATAAACGTATTTTATCTATTTCTTTACAGAGATTCTGATTGAGGCTGTTTTCTTCACCGTGGATCCCTACATCAGGTAAGACTGTTCTTCAACATCAGATAATCTTTTTATGTTGTTGTTTTTACACCCCTTACGACACAATTAAGATCATAATTTACAAGGGGTCTCTCGTGGTCTAGAGGTTAAGGTGTTGGCCTCTCATTCAAAGGTCCCGGGTTCGAATCCTGGTAGCGACCGACAATTTTCTTCTCTAAAATTGTCTCCTTTCACCTCCTTTCCTGCTCTCTAGCAAAGTTCTGTTGTCTGTTTTCATTTCCACTTTCTGCCCCCACCCCCTCACCTCCTTTGCCCCCTCCTCTGGGCTCCTGACTCTTTCTGCAGCCTTTCTACTGCTACTCCTTGGCTCCTCCTTACTGCTGTCTTTCTGCCACACCCCTGATCTTCTGGTAGAAAAGATCTACACCTAGCCTTCTCGGACAAGGGCGAAAAATCTCGGAGGGCCCGTGTGCAAGTTGCGCACGTTAAAGATCCCTCGGTGGTCTAAAATTGATAAGAGTAGGCTTCGGTCGCCACCCGGGCAAAATTCAAAATTTCCTACCAACTGAAAATATTAGGTGTGTCCCGCGCGCTCATATGACCTTATGCAGTTGCGAGCGCCGTAAAACACTTTACAAAAACAAAACAATAATTTACAAGACGGGCTTCGACTTTGTCTGCCAGGGTCAACCCCGTGACACTGTGTTAATTGTCTTGCAAATGTCGTAACACTCTTACAAAAAAGGGTTACCCCGGCTAAAAGGGACACAACGTTCTAGCAGAAAGACAAAGACACATCACAGCTCCAGTCAAGATGACGATAATCATCATTATCATCATCAATGCCTTTCACCCCTGGCAGGGTATGAGCCATATACACGCTCCTTCCATTTATGTCCTGGGCCATGCTTCCAAGCTCGTTCCAAGTGAGCTTCATCTCTCTCATGACCCTTTCCACATATCTTCTCCATGTTTCCCGTGGCCTACCTCTGCCTCGTGCTCCCTGGGGGATCCACTGCAACGACTGTTTTGTGATGTTTCCGCTGGGCTTTCTGAAGGTGTGTCCCATCCAACGCCACTTTCTTAGTCCCATTTCTACTTCTATATGCTTTTGTCCTGTCCTTTCCAACAGCTTTTCATTTCTTATTCCATCCTGCCACTTAATTCTTACGATACTCCTAATGCATCTGTTGATGAAAGTCTGGACTTTATTCAATACTTACTGTCTTTGTTGTCTTTCAAGTTTCGAAGCCGTACAGGAGCACAGGCTTGACATTGGAGTTAAAGAGTCGAATCTTGGTGCGCAGTGAGATGTTGCTTATTTACCAGACTTTTAATAATTGATTGAATCCTGATCTTGCCTTGGCGGTTCTTGCTTTTACATCTGCCTCGGTTCCACCTTTACAGTCAATGACACTCCAAGCAAGGTAGGTAAAGGAGTCCACTTCTGACTGGGGAGTGATAATATTATTGCAACACATTTTTGCCGTGCATCTGTGATGACATAAATTCCAGCGTTCAAGGCGGAACGGTTATGGAGTTACAGGGAAGGGAAACGACTTAATTATAAGAAGCACCTCATTTTATGATTTTCTGTTTTTTGCTGTCCACAGAACGCTGAATCTCCCCACAGGACTGCCCGCTGAACAAGTTGGGAGGTATGTTTGTCTTTTGTCCATCCATCCATACATACCTTCACCCATCCAATCCATCCAACCATCCATCTATCCTTCCACCTATCCACCCATCCATCCATCCATCCATCCATCCATCCATCCATCCATCCATCCATCCATCCATCCATCCATCCATCCATCCATCCATCCATCCGTACATCCGTACATCCATTAAAACCATCCATTCATCCAGCCATCCATCCATCCACCCATCCATTCACCCATCTATCCATCCATTTTAATGTAAACTGTTAATGGGAGGCATTTTTTCTTTACTTTCCCTCTGCTGTGTCTGTCTGTATTTCTATCTATCTCTTATTGTAATTTTTTATACTCAAGCCAACAAACACTAACTCTCTTACTCGCGTCTCTCACTTCTCTCTCTTATCTATTACACTCTTTTCTCATTTTTCTCCCCCCCCCTCCTCTCTCTCTCGTTTCTCACATCTTTATCTTCTTTTTCTTCTGTCATTCTCGTTTCCTCACTTATATCTTTTATCTCTCACTCTTACTCTCTCTCTCTCTCTCTCTCTCTCTCTCTCTCTCTCTCTCTCTCTCTCTCTCTTACCTTCTACTGTCCTCGTTCACTATTTCTTTCTTTTTGTCACCATCTCACTTTTTCACTCTTACACGCCTCTCCTTCTCCCTGTTCCTCGCTTCTCTTTCACTCACGTCTCTCCATTCTTTCTTACTCGCTCCCTCTTCCACTTACCTGTCTTACTTTTCTCTCTCCATCCCTCACAGAATCATGGAGTCCAAAGCCAGAGACTTCCCCAAAGGCGCTCTAGTCCTCGCCCACGTTGGCTGGAGAAGCCACGCCATCCTCAACGTCAAAGAGACCATGAACCTGGGATTCAAACCCACGATCGTACCCAAAGTACCCGGCCTCTCTCCCTCCCTGTGGCTCGGAGTCATCGGCATGCCAGGGTAAGTAGTGCACACTCTGCCAGTAACAGAGCATCGTCATCCAGTGCCAGATCTGCGACATACATCAGTGATCATGGTTCTCCATTCATTCCTTTGCTCGGATGCTCTAAACAAAAAGCTACTTTTCCCTGATCTTTCCCTGTTACCCATTTGTTTAGGTTCCGTAAGTATGTTGTTCTGGGCCTACCCCTGCCTCGTTTGCCTTCAATTTTGCAAGTGAGAGCTAGATGTTCAAGATCCTTATTATGTCTATTCAGGTGTCCCAAAAACTGCAGTAACGGATACTCTGACGTTAACATTTAGCTAATCTAGAATAACAAAGCTCTCTCAGCCCACACGTTCTAGTCTCGAGACTTTTGAGGTAAAAAAAAAAAATAATTGAGTTTCCCAACACGCTAACGAATTACAACGTTCTATCTGGTCAGTAAGAAGCTTTGAGAAATTTGATGTCTAAAATTTTGAATTTTTACATCATGTCAAGCTTTTTCGAATGCAATTGTTCTATGAATATCTTGATAACAACTCCTATTAATCTTACGATTTTGATAGAGCAGATAGAACATTACGTTTCTGATCTCATGGTCTTACTAACTCCAAACGGTAAAAAATATAAGATACAGCTTTGTAATTCTACGGAAACGATTTTACGCCATTCATCCACACCCTGACCAGTGACGTCATTGATTTATTCTCTGAATTTTGTCTTCAGAGATTAAATCTCGTACCCATAACATCATCCACTCATTTCCCGGCATGTAAGGTAACCCAAACACACGCCACTCATCTCGCAGATTTAAGTAAAAGTTTTACAGAACTTGCATCACAAATAGGCCGTAATATCAATGCCGAAGATTTGAGATGTTACCAGAGAATAATGTACCGTAAAGAAATAAAAGAAGGTGAGACACGGACGATAGATGTTAAACAGGGAAAAAAGGAGCAAACCATAGGCCTACCCTAGCAAACACTCGTCACCCACCCACCCACATTCATTTAGCTCAGACGTCACCCTCTTTAGTTACCCTTTAACATATGACGTCACACTCGTTAATTAACCCTATCTGTACGTCGTGTTTTACTATGGTATCCATACGATGTGGGGAACTCTGTGCCACCACTTTCAAAAGAGGAAATTTACTCGTTAATCTGATCCGTACGCTTTGCATAGCGGTATGTCAAAATGATTTTTTGAGAAATACTGAAAGTTTCAAAGAGATCTTCGTACTAGAAGTATTCGAAAATGTAAAGAATACAACCTCGGGGGTACAAAATGACCCCACGGCGTACGGATAGGGTTAAGTACCCATTTCCCTGTTCGACGTCATCCACTGACCCACTGACCCACTGACCCACTGACCCACATATCTATTTATTATGTCTTCCACAGAGTGACCGCTTACTTGGCCTTCCTGGAGCGTTGTGCCCCCAAGTCTGGTGACGTGGTCATTATCAGCGCAGCATCCGGGGCTGTAGGCAGCATGGTGGGACAGCTGGCTCGTGCAAAGGTAGGTCAATGATAGTAGACAACAAGATGGTTCACTGGGTCCTCTCTTTGAGCCAATTAAAAAAGCGTCCTCAAAATCTGGTGGCGTGGCGTCCTCTTCGGAAAAGCGCACCTTTTGCGAACAGAGTTATCCTACTTGTGTGAAAAAAAATCAAAGTGAAACTAACGAGTTTTTTTAATTAATTAGAATTCAAATTTCGGAAGAACGCTTTTTAAAATCGCTACGCTGACAAAAAAACCTCTTCCGTGGAAGAGGCGACTGTTTTCTTAATCTAATTTGGCTTTAGAATGAAAGGCGAGAGGTCATAAAAAAAACACACACACCGAAAACTCCGCCCTGAACGTACCCGAACTGCTGATGAACAGCAGTCGATCTGCGCACGCAAGGGGGTGCTATTCCTATTCTTCTTCTGGAGAAACGAAAGAGAGCTTTAAAACAAAGACTGCAGCGCCATCTTCTTCTTCTTCTTCTTCTTCTTCTTCTTCTTCTTCTTCTTCTTCTTCTTCTTCTTCTTCTTCTTCTTCTTCTTCT